ATCAATATATTCAAGAATCTGATAACTCTCAGGCTTTAGAAAATGTATCAGCATTAACAGATTGTATATTCCATTAAATAATCTCATGTCTACGTTATATCCTAGTGTATCCGAACTCAAAAGTATTAAATATTTAGTTGTTATAATAAATTTTAAAAATAAAACGTTAACTAATCTTTTGCAATTGCTTTGATTCTCGTAACACTCTTAATTTTATAATCACACTGTTCTTACATAAGACTGCTAGTCCACTCGGGTATATATGACCTGATTAAAAGACAATTTTTATAATGTAAAAAATGTTTTCGGAATTTAAAAGTCATTAAGATGTGTTATGCTTATAACAAGCAATGCCATTGTATTATAAAATATAACATTATTGTATATTGCAGAAAAATACATAATGATGTACTTTTTTCAAGATAAACAGCCTACAGGTCTTGTCCCACTTTTTTTTTTATAGCAAACAAAATCCATTGTATTGTGAAATATAGCATAGTAAATTGCAGAATAAATACCTAATGATGTACTATTTCATGATAAACGACCTACAGGCCTTTTCACACTTTTTGTTGTAAGTCTTAAGAGATTCTCCTATCATGACATAAAATAAAGGCATATTTTTCAAGTCAGGTAAAATTTGTTTTTTTTTTATAACACATGCGTTAAGTACTTATAACATTTTCCGTTTCTTTTAAAATGTTTAGACATAAATATCTCTGAGTCACCTGACGGAATAGGCTATTAGTTTTTTTTAAATACCTAATCAATTAATCGGCTGTAAACATGAAACATTAAATAATTAAACTTAATGAACCAGCGGGTGGTCTTAAAACATAATTAATAATAACGTAACGAACTGCAAATGTTTTAATATCTAGATATTACGTAAAGCATCTAACAGCGATCCTTCTTCACATTGGAAAAATAAAATCGAATTTTAAGATGCTGATGTTGTTCGTTTTTGTTGTGTGTAAGTGGAGCTAAGTGATAAAGTATATTTCATTGGCAGTTTATTGTTCTGTAAGTATATTGATTGATTGGTGTTTGCTTTACTCCGCCTCAGCACAAATGGCTATATCGTGGCGAGCGGATATCTGTAAGTAGTTTGTATTTAATTTTTACATGTATGTTGATTGTACTTGATATGCTGAAAGCATTCTGAATCTTAAAATAAATGTATGATACATTTTAGTCGGTATAGATCATGGATTATCAATATGTTTGTTTTCGACAATGAGACAGCTACCCAAAGAAAAAAATTGTAAATCTAGTGTTATATTTTTAATTTTAAAAACCAATTAGCAATTTCTTAGATTAGACAGAGAAACATCTATATAGGATTTTTTTTTATTGATAAATATATGTCATCTGTATCAAAGGCGAGGAATAATATAAAAAAGAAGATGTGGTATGATTTAGTTTGAAACAACTATCCAATAGCGCCCAAGAGAAGCGGATTTCAGCAACTATCGGTCACCGTACGGACTCCAACAATGAGAAAATCCCACACCGTATAGTCCGCTACAAAAGACCTAGATATGTCAAATGTGGAACAATTTAAACGAAAAAAAATAAAGGCCTGATTTGTGACAAAACAATAAACGAAATACAAATATTTCAGGCAGCAACACACGACAACCACTGACTTTAAAAGTCAGGTTTAAACATTATTATGAACGTCCAACCCTCCCCTAACCTTGCACAGTGGTGTAACAGCACAACATAAGGACAAACGTCATTTTATTATTTACATTGGACCAAAATCGCGTTCTTTTCAATTAACCTCGGTTTATTTCTTTAAAGTCTCATGAAACCGGAAAATTATTTTTGTTTCACGTGACTGCAATAAAAACAATTTATAGAAAGGACTATTGCAAACGTGTTACTCTACCCAATGATTTATGCCTCGTTCACACGTACATTTAATTCGAATTGAATTCGCATCGAATGCGAATCGAATTCGCTAATCGCGTTCACACACTCTTCTTTTTTAATTCGAATTGATTCGAATTCGCTAAATCGCATTATCCAAATCGCATTAGAAATGCGTTTTTGTTGATACGAATTAAAAGTTAACGTCGTTTGGATAGTAAAGCGAATTTGACGCGCATTTCAATTCGAATTAGAATTTACATTTGGACGTAAAACGTTTCGAATGTGAATTAAACTAATTCGAATTAGTTAATGCGAACCGAATTCGAATTACGCGTGAACGCAGCATAAATTTTTATTTCAAAACTTTATATTCCATAACGAAAATATATCAATCCTAAGAAACACCTTAGCAAATGATTTATTGTTAACCGTTCTTTAAACGACAGTTTACACGCATATACACGTTTAGTTTATAGACGCATATTTATAAAGCATGAAATCTCATTTTTCATAGTTTTTTTTATAGTGTTTTAATATATACAAAATAGAAGTTTAGATTCTCCGATATCACCCTAAAGAGTTGTCACTGGTGTTTACCTAAGCTGTGTCCACAAAGTCGAAAACTGGGACTGTAATAACATTAATGTATTGTTGGAAGATATTGTTTTTTTTGTATTTTGATTATGATACGTTTAACTTATATGGACAGGTGACGAGTCACTTCACGTATTAACATAGTCAACGAGTTATGTGGAATAGAAATTAAGTCGACAGGAGTCCAAGTCCAGTCACAATCCAGTCCCTTAATACATTTGTAAATCTACCATTTTTTATGTGATATTGTACATGTACCTAGTTGCAAATTCTGTTTAATCTGTAGTATTTTCAATTTCCATGAAATTTTGAGTAAATCTGGAAGGTATATGATAGAAAACTATGCATGTAAATGGCCCAATTTCAGTTTTAATTTTAAAAACATGAAGTGAATTGAATTACCCTATGCATAATCTCTTGAAGGTTTCCTAAAAACTTACTTACATGACACAACTAATTAAAACGACAATGTTTTATATAAAAAAAAAATAATGCAAACATAAAAGCACACAGAAAGTTCAAGCATTGCTCTGTAAACCTCAATAATATTTTTGGTAATTTTCCGGTCCTGAAATTTCTAAATAAGCGATTCCATTTAAAACACAATTCTGGCAGAAAAGGAAAGATTTTTGCATCGTCAATGTAATGCAATAAAGTGTTTTATATTTTGATATATAATTACAAGAAAGGATCCCAAGAATTACAAACAAATATTGAACACTACAACTGACCATACAATCCAACAAAATTGATGTTAACTTTTATGTCAATAAGAATGTAGAAAAATTGTTGTTAAAATTTGATAATTCCCTCGAAGGTTTGAAACAATAGAAACACTGTCGAAAATTTGGATAAACATTACAAACAAAACTGTTTAAGACAGGCGTTGTATGGTATACGTAAGATAAGATCAACCCAACGACAAAAATTTAAAAGACTTTCAGAGATCAACATTAGGAATTCAAAAAGTGTAAAATATACAATACGTCAGGCTATCAATCGTCCAGATTCTACGATGTTGTTTTTCAATTAGACACCTCGGCTAATATTTTTTTATCTTATTTTATTTTATTTAACAATAAATTTGAACCTTCAGTACTAGCAATTAGGTTATTTACACAAAATTAAAATCGATTTCACCCGAGATACCCTACTGTTAGATTGACATTCTATATAATATACAATCTTTGTATCTGTCAAAGAAAGTCTTCCAGTCATAACAAGTACATTAAATTTCTATATTGTTCAGAAAAAAATTCATAATTGGAATTGTAAATAATTTGAATTAGACTGATGTATTACTTTCCTAACTCATTTCTTACAATAGATACATGTATATGTTTCACTCTGACCTTCTGTTGGTCTTTCTTACAAGAGATATTTGTTTCTCTCTAACCTTTGATTAGCAAATCATTTACATTGGCATCGTCCCCACAACTTTAAAAAAAAACACATTCTAGTTGTCTCATTGGCAATCATAGGTCACATCTTCTTATTTTTATACAATAGTAGTTTCAATTGGATATTGATACACAAATCATTTTTTTTACAGTTATTACGTCGCATCTTAAACAGTTTTCAATGCACGTTATCGACATCTTGCGACTAATTTTGCCCAAACTGACGCCATTAATCGCTATATAAAATTGCTATGAGATGATATCTTATGCTCCTTGTTGAAGCCCTCATTGCAATATTGAGACGAAAAATAGTAAAAAAAAAACTAATGTTATTTTTCTGTTTGTGCTTGCGTGTAAGGATTTTGTGTAAATAACATGATTCAATAAACATATCCCATTACTTTTTGCTTGTAATGAGAAAAAGGATAACAATTACATCACCATAAAGTATTCTACCCGACTACATTTGTACCAAATTACAGGAAGAAAGAAAGTTAATAATTTTAACGAATATAATTATACAATTGCACCACAAATGGAAGTAGCTGATGTTATGTAACCTTGTATGTATACTAGTCGATATTTGTTTAATCGGATTCATATTTATAAGAATTTTATAACAAATATTTATTCACAAAAATTAAAGGAAGGTTAATCTGGGAGATTACCGCTGTATTTTTTACTTAACATAATTATGTTATGAAACAGGTTTACTGCAAAATAAAATGTTTTTGTTAAATTCCTAATTTTATAACAAACTTCAGTTATTAAACATTGATGTGAAAAGTCGGATCCATTTAAAGAAATTTAAATGCCCTTTTGTAAATAACTCTAAATTGTAAATACACATGTAAATATGATATGGAAATATTTAATGATAAACTATAGATGGGTTCAAATGTCTTTCATATACAAATGACGGTTTATTGACAACCTATATCAAAGAATAACGGTATGTGTAAGTCCATTACATTGGTCTTCATTATAAGCCGGATACTTAACTGAAAACGAGTTCGCATTTGAAACTTTAAAATATTTGTGTATTGACAATAAAGTTATGAAGACTTAGTAATTTAGGGCGTGCTTCACGCTACTTGTAGTTTACTTTGGTCTATGTATCGTATTCAGATTGGAATTTATGACATTAATGATGTGAGAACACGGAGTGATAGTTTGGTGAAAAATACATGTTAAAATACATAGTTACATGAGCTGCAGGGATATTTTCTACGGACGTGATTGAGGCTTTGATGATCTTTATTTGTTGTACAAGTTCATGTAAGTGTGCATTAACGTTTTTTCCAATTTCTGTCTTTTGTCGAAGAAGCTACACGGTACACATTTTTAAAAGGTTCATAAAACGTAATTATGGCACCCTCAACCGAGTTGGGGTGACATATTGTTATTGTTCGTTTCTTTTTTTTCTTATTATTATATTTATTCTTCCACACTTTTTTGTCCATGCTATTTCTCAGAATTGGCTTGAACAATATTGATGGAACTATACCATAATGTAGACCACTATATAAAATTGTGCAATCGGGGTATGGCATCATCAAGATGGCTGCCGTTGCCATGGAAACTGAAAAAATGTGAAAAAAAATGCAAATTCTAAATCTTTCGTTATAAGAGGCAATCTCTTGAAAGTTTATGTAAATGTTGGTAGTGATGCCCTGAGGTACCAACAGTACTTGGAATTTTCAAAATGGCTGCCATTGCCATGGAAACTGGAGAAAAGTTTAACATTGACCCTATGGAAAAAAACATCAAACCAGCATTTTCTAAAGGAATATAAGATCAAACTCAAAGAAACATCATGAATATATAACATGACATAAGTCAATGTTGCAACTGTTGTTGGAATTTTCGAAATGGACACCGTAACCATGGAAACAGCAAAAATATCCAAAAATTTCAAAATGGTCTAAACTAAATGAAACTAAATGGTAACTGACAATTGGAGATAAGACTTTGGACTTCGGAATTTCCAAAATGGCCGCCGTTGCCATGGAAACTGCAAAAATAAAAAAAAATAAAAAATGTTACAAATTTTCCGAAAATTTACAGACAAATTTGTTGTAATGCATTTAAGTGCTTTGACTGTTTTTAATTTTCAAAATGGCTGCAGTTTAGTGGCAATGTGGGAAGGGTGCCATCCGCTATTGCTTGCAATGGCAAATCTAGTGTTTATTTGCTTTTGTTTTCTGAATGGATATTCGAGCTAATGAAGTCAGTATCAAAAAATAAAATGCCACTATTCTTTTTATCGGCAATTTGTCCTAACTGTATTTTATTTTTTGGATGACAATATGAAGTAAAATGAAATAAGAAGTAAAACTACTTTTACGCGTACAAAACGTTGGGATAGTTGTTCGGTTGTACGAATGAAGTCGCGTGCATTGATAAATTGAAGCGGACGGACATGAACACGTGATGTTGCTGCACTGATACATGACGTCATTGCCTAATGCCTGTCCCAAGTCAGTGTTTGTCCTTGGTTGTCGTCGGTTAAAATTTTTTGTTTGTTAATGTTTTTTTTTGTTAATAAGGTTGTTTTTTTACTTTTCATTTGAACTAGAGTATCAAGTCCTGTCCATGATGTTGAAAATGTTAGGCAGTAAGATCAAAGGGAAATGTTCTTATTGCCGATAAACTCCTTCATCATAACTTTATGTATCATTAGAACCCCCAGAGTGGCGTAGATATACTTAAGTGATTTAATATGTCTTGTTGTTTTACATACACGGCTTGTTTTATGCCTAACGTGAGAGTACCCAAATTGCACCTATTTTGACAGTTTTTTCACCTACGTTTACTTATGATCCCGACAAAAGTTTCCATTCTGGGTTTATTTTGTAGATGTATTCTTATTTACTATATAGTTCCACCAATTTAATTTTGAATCCATATTGAATCATAGAAAAATGGGATTGAACCGACCTCCAAACGATCCATGATTCTATAATGAGGAGTACCCAAATTGCATAAATTCACATACTTAAAAATCGAATGACAGATGTTTTGTTTTATTTCTTCAAATATTTAGAACAATGTGACATTAGTCCATGCTTACTTTTTAAGAAATTGATGCTTGTAACATGTTTTATTTTGCTAATTTTTAAAAGATGCCTTTTAGTGAACGTCGCCATAGATTTTACTTTTTCCAGTGAATACTTCATCTGATGATATATACAGTGACAATTTTGTGCACATCTTCATATATTTAGTTATGTTGAAAGACGTGCAATAATGTCAAATCATAAAAATACAAATTGTTTAGTCTCTAAAAAAACTTGTAAGATTTCCGCTGTTTCTATTGCTAAATAGGTGCAATTTGGGTACTCGGTGCAATTTGGGTACTGTGACGTTAGCTATTGACGAGACAGTGTTTGTTTTTCAGCAAGAAATATTTTGCCTACAGCGATAGCCTTAAGCTTTCTTGTATTGGCTTTATTGAACAGACTTATGTCTGCTTTACCTAACTACTATCAGTTCTCGTATGTTTACTCTGCCTTACAGAAATGACTGGTTTCCCTAACAATGGCCTGTTCGATGTTTGAGGATGTTTTCCAGGATCAGTTTATACCATTGGATATCAAAAAGCAGGTTGGAAACTATAAGATAGGAAAAACTCTGGGAAAAGGCTCGTTTTCCACTGTTCGAGAAGGCAAACATTTACAGAATGAACAAACGGTAAGATATTTGTCGGGTCTGAAAACTTGTCAAATGCCAAATTTAAAAATAATGTACAAATACAAAATGTATAGAAATTAACTGTTCAAATTTGTGTATTAATTGTTTTCTTTAAAAAATTGTACCCGAATCTTATGTTATAAATTTCATGCCGACAAAACAGGACTTAGATAATTTTAATCTTGAGTTTCGGTTGTATATTTGTACTTAGCATTTCGGAAGCTGGCTACATTATCAGAATATACTTAAATAGTACCATAGGGAAGTGGTTATAAAGTTATGAATTATAGAAAACATCATACAAATATGACTTCTCAACAGTGAACATAAGATTATGCTTTCAATTTGTATTTTTGATTTTTTACTAGGTGGCAATAAAAATAATTCCCAAAAGTTCAATTCTGCAGCAGGAGAAAATAAAGAAACGATTTTGCAGTGAAATTAAAGTGCAGAAAGGTCTAGACCATCCAAATATTGTTCGTTGTTTGGAGTGGATGGAAACTGGACGCAATTTTTATCTGGTTTTAGAACTAGTTGAAGGAGAAAATATGAAGGATTATTTAAAACGAAGGTAAATATTTATTTATTGTTTAAATGGTGATTATGAACCAAGTATATCCATATAATGAACCAGAAACTAACTTAAATTGAAATGGGAGAAAAAAACACTTCCATGAATAAAAAAAAATGTGATTTAAACCCATTACTGCACTCGTTCGTCTTTATGTTAATTACAAGTTTACTTACAAATTATAGGTACACTTCAAAAGGGTGGGTGAAGTAAATCAAACAGAAATTTATACAAGAATCTTTTTTCCCTTAAAAGTGGTATATGTATCACCAAAGATATCTGTTTAAAAAGGAACAATAATACATAAGGATTTACAAACAATTTCCTATCTTTAACAAATGTTTTATAAAACATATAGATTTAAAGAAAAGATTAAAAAATGAGATGTGATGAGATTGACAATAAGAGAACTATCCATTAAGACCATACAACAAAGATGTCAACAATTACAGGTCATCGTACGGCCTTCAACAATGAGCAAAACGTATCCCGCATAGTAACTCATAAAAGGCTACGGGATGACTTACTATAACAATAAGGTAACCAACGAACACCACTTGCTTATTGGCTCATGGCTTGGGACAGGCACTCATAGAATACGGCTTGGTTAAACATGGGTGTGCGCGCTCAATCCCCAAAGGACTGTGTTATACCACAGAGAACCAACTGTCATAATCAATGGGTAAGAGTCCCACTCAAATTTAATATACAGGTTCCAAGCACACACAAAAACAACAAACAGCTTACAAATGAATCATGTTGGTTCGGACTAAAATATCAATTGATAAACCTCAAACATGAAAACAACATTTCTAAAGGCGTCAAAGGCTATTTTGTAGATTTATTTTCAATACATGCACATGTACTTGAAGATGTATTCCAACGGGTTTACTGTCAAGACATGATACGCGGTCTTGGAAAAACTTGATCTTCTGCAATGCCAACATATAAGTATCATCAACAAGTAGGACCATATATTATATTATCTGTTAATAACTGGTTGACGATACTTGCTAAGTTATGTATCAAACTGTTGAAAATAAAATCAATGTCAGTACCAACGAAGACAATATTCAAAGATGTTACTTTAATGTCTGCCTTCTACATTTTTTTTTATCTTAACCAATCTATATATTTAAACAGTTATTCTTCATATTTATTCTTATTGTTTTTTTGAAAGTCAATTTTGTTCATCTAATTTATAAAGATCTGTCAAACTTTTCTTGTCTTCAAGGAAACAGATTGAAGAAACAGAGGGTAAATCTATTATGACACAGATCTGTTCAGCTGTAGACTATATGCACAATAAAGGCATTTTACACAGGTAACTCGTAGAAAACAAAATGAATTATTCATATGTGAAGGATAAACTTGATTGTAAAAGTGCTGCCCCATCATGAATCAATACAAGGCAACCAGCCATCAACTTCATTTTAAATAGACATAACTCATTAGACCAAAACAGAACATACTTTTAGACTTAAAAGAAAAAAGAGATATCGACCGACTTAAAAAGATTCTTACAATTAATGACATTTTCAGTTGATCTGGTAAATAGATTACTGAAACAGTTAAGGTGTAATTCATATATTATAATTAACTTGAACATACATGTAATAAAAATTACTTGCATATATAAAGATGCATTGATAACAGTTATATTTTCAGTTTATTGAATGTGTGGCAGACAAACTGTCATATACGAAAAAAAAATCGAACCTTTTTTTTTTAATTTCATTACGAATGAAATAAATTATTGAAGAAATGGATAAATCAAACATTTAAAAAGCCTGATATATAAAGCTTGATATATAAAATACAAAATAATGACTATAAGAATAAAAATGATGATTTTATTTCACAGGGATTTAAAACTAGATAACATGGTTTTAGAAAAAGATGGAAAAGTGAAAATAGCAGGTGATCGATTCTAAAATCATATTCTAAAAACCTCTTTATTTTATTCTTTGCATTCATTTTTTTTCAAAGTTCTAATCCGACTTAGACGTAACGTTACGTCGAACCTGACTTAATACATCATTGAATCAAGTTTTTTATATGTTGAATTCTGGTTGTTCTCCATACATACACAATAATAGCTTCTGGGGTTGGGTAAAGCGTTGTTCTTTTCTTTGTTTTTTCTTTCAAATACGGGTAAAAATGTTTAGTAATGAATTAATACACCAACACATTTCGTTTATAAAAAGTACCCGAAATTCATTATTTTACCAAATCAGCTTCAAATTTTGATATTGACATCCCTGTTATAAGATAAGCGTAGAAATTAGATATTCATCTTTATTTTAAATTTATTTTCATTGATTAGATTTTGGATTGAGTACCAGTCTTGAAGGAATAGAAAATAAACTTCACTTTTGTGGTTCACCTTCGTTCATTGCACCGGAAGTTCTCAGTAAAAGAAACTATACCACAGCATCAGATATATGGAGTCTGTAAGTACTAACAATCTTATCTACAAACCCTTACAATAATCAAGTAAACTATTTCTTCCCAGTTATATATATGATCTATGCACTTATCGAAATCTTCTTACAGTTCCATTGCATGATAAATTTTAAATACAGTCATGTAAATTAACATTAACCTTCATTATAATAATAACTTTAAATTTTAGTAAAAGTACACTAAGAAGTTAATTCTATGATATCAAATATTTTAAGGAATGACTGTAATATTTTTTCTGTCTATGAAGAAATAACATCAAAAATGTGGTGCACACTGAATAACCCGCGTAGCGTGTTATTTTAAAGTGTGCACCACATTTTTTATGTTATTTCGAGTAGACAGAAAAAATATTACAGTCATTTCTTATAATTTAATTCTAAATTCCATTTTAAACCGGAGTAAACCATGAAAAAACGTTGATGACGTCACGGTCACATGACAAAATTATGTCTATGAGCTGATAAACAAAACAACGTCAGCCAATCAGAAGACGCGTTACATCCAACATTAAATTATATGTTTATGAATACGATAAGTTAAGAGAATGAAGATTATGAACAAGCTTTCTTTTGAAAAACAAGTAGACATTATTTCTTTACTTAAATTAGTGTAAACAAAAATTCAAATTTAAGAATGGCGTGCAAATCGTATTCTGATTATGATTGATAGATATATGTAGATAAAGTCCGATAAAAAAAGGCTTTTCATTATCATGTCTGGTCAATGATGGTTCCACTATAACCTCCTTGGACTGATAGAGCCTTCAATTAACATCAACATTAGGCTTCTGATTACCAATTGATAGATAGAGCAATGAATTAATAGAAATAATAGGCCTCTGATAATATGTTGATAGATAGAGCCTTGAATTAACGAAAAAATATGCTTCATTATTGTTTTCTGCTCTTTGGTCGGATTGTTGTCTCTCTGACACATTCCCCATTTCCATTCTCAATTTTATTCTGATAATCTATTGATATATAGAGCTTGGTATAAGCATTATCATGATTATTGATGGCTAAAAACTTGTGATAACAGACATATTAGGCTTGTTATCATTTAGTGATTGATAGAGTCTTCTTTTAACAGGAACAGTAAACATCTGATTATTTTCTGTTCGTTGGAGCTTTGAATAGGACAGTTATAAGATGTTTCGTAATCATTCAATGTAAACTTTTGAATTTTGAATTTATATAATGATTTTTTTCTTCAAAAAGAATGTCAAACTAACAAATTACATAGTCAATTTTAATTATTTTCTGTTTACGTTTCACTAAACACTTTCCATGATAGGTCTAACAAAAAATAGCAGGTACACTCCGACTAATGGTGTAATCCGAGTAAATTCTTAATTGCCGATATATAATATAAAGAAAAATAGGGTTATGTTTTACATGTATTGTATAATACAATTATGTTTATTTTTCAGGGGGGTAAATTTATTTTACCTTTTGATTGGAACTTTGCCGTTTACAATGGAATCCAAAAACAACTTTGTATCCCTATACTTTAGCATTTTACAAGGCTGTGAAATTCCCGCAACAATTTCTGAAGGTAAGTTTTTTATGCCGTATCGCCATACTTTTGTTCGCATGACTATAAAAATTATCGCAGTAATTTTTGAAGGTTAGTTTACTATGCCATATAATTCACAAAAGTGCAACTTAAAAATTAGATCAATTTAGCTCTTTTAGTCTCAGAAAAGTATAGGCTAGAAAACAGGCTATAATAGCTAGTATATACTTATTACTGGCTATGAGAACAATACCAGTCAATGAGTTTTTTTTATTATACAGAAAGAAACTGGCCATGGGTTGTTAAATTGTCTGAAAAGACTATTTACCTGTTAAATTTCAAAATCTATTTACTGGTTACGAACTACAAACATATTTTCACTGGAAGAACATATTTTCACTGGAAGCACATATTTTCCCGTACTTTTATAACAATGGTAAATTTATTTGCCGACAATTTTATAAAGACAATACATACTGAGATAGCAATTGAATTTACTCGACCAAGGAACCAACTCGGAAGCAAAACAGGACCCGAACAGCCTTTTTGGATAGCATTCAGCTACATGTATTTAAAAGATCATCACAAAATCTGATTTAAATTATTGCCGCAAATGTATGCTGTATCATAATATCGATGGACTGAATTTAAGATTTTTAAAACAGTTATGTAGTATACAAACACTTGTTATGATTATTTCAGAATGCAGGGATTTGCTGACAAAGATGCTCACAGTTGACGAAGACAGAAGAATAGCAATGAATGATATTTTAGAACATAAATGGTTGACAACGGAAGTTGTATAGCACTAGCTGTTGACATTGTTAACGATACCTTACCCGTCATGTGTTCATTTGTTGTTTTGTTCGCATAAAATTGATAATCAGTGCATTGTTAATAATAGGACATTTTATAATATACTACAGCACTTTTTATAAGAAGTATTTATATTCAGAATATTTGTTCTTATGTTAAATAATCTGAGGAATATAGTACATCAATGAATACAAACAGCTACGTTCTTGTCTATAGACCTCATTAACCTAATATACAGATGAATATTTCATTTGATAAGGGAAATGATAAATCTTTATTTTTGGAATACAACCTACTGAACTGTGCTTTCACAAATGCTAACGTGCCAAATGTTTTCTTTTTGTGTACTTTGAAAATCTAAATAATTGTTAAATTGATCTCATCTTAAATATGAATGAAATATTTCACTGAACATTAAGCTAGCAACAATCAGTCAATCATACAAACATAGGATGACAATAATGTTGGTCAACTTTTTAATTCCAGTTTATAGCAATAACGATGTTTTTATTCAAACGACAGGGACGCTTAAGTTATATATTACGAACCTGTTTTCGTTGATAATCAAGTAATATCCTATAGTCTCACTTCCTTTCAGAATTATATGCTAACTTCTTGCTAATCTTAATTGATTTTTTTCCGTGAAAATATTTTGAAACATTATGTTACTAACCACTATTCACGAAACGACATATATGTGAAAATGGTATATTTATTCATTTTGTTTGTGAAGCCACGTCTATAATGATCAGATTTCTTTCTATACTTATAACTCACACTTAACAAAATTATGTATTATGTATTATGTATTACTCCAATGCAACAAATCCTTGCATATGTTAATTTTGGACGAATTAGTGATAGAGCAGTGCAATACTTTTAAAGTTTCTTTCAGTTGTCTTTCTTTGTACGTATTTTTCGTAGGAGTCAGCTGTTGGTGCTTTGTATTGTCTATTGTACTGCCCAGCATTTTTTGTAATTCTGTTATCCTTTATATGTATTACACAGATTAAAAAGCAGGTCGACACTTTTTTTTTAAATAGAAAAGGTTGAAAAGTCAGCTGTCCGTTCAAGTTGTTTTGTATACAGGCAGGAATTGTCAGAAAAAACCTATACTCACAGGTTGTTTACCCCTCCTTTTTGAAAATCTAAAACATGACTCCGCCTGAATTGCACAACTCGATAGATTTGTCATTCAAATATAATTGTCATTCCTTAGAAGGTTACCAAAAACTTACAATTAACTAAGCTAATCATCGAAACCTGTCACAAAAACGTTTTGACAGAAAAAGTTCGTAAATATTGAACATTTCAAACATTACTTGCGATTGATTTTGATCGCATATTTTTTTTTTTGGATCGCAGGTCTATAAATACTTCCTGTCTCGCACACTCTCAATCGACCATTTCCTAACTTTACAGTTTAATTCTAGACAATTCTTAGCAAAACAATGATTCCTTGTCCGGATTTTGGTATACTTTAGGTCCTTTTTGGTTTGGCCGGCTCTTTAATTTTTGTAAAAGGGTTGATTTTTCAACAATTTTGGCCCCGATCATCACTAAAAAGACATTTATTGTCGAAATGCGCATCTGGTGCAGTAAATTTTGTACCGATAATATAATTATATAAATCTTACTTTAACAATAGTTTTGTTTTCAACTTTACGGTAATAACAATTCTAAAAAACTAAACTCACGATTAATCAATTTGGCAGTTAAAGGGTGTTCTACCCGCTATGAACCCAAAGCAGGCACAGCGTTAATTCTATTTATAAGACAAACACATATTTAAGATGAAATACTGTATTTACATGCACCATGTCATGAACTATCTTGTGATCCGTTACTTTTTACAACAAAATATTGTTTAATGTATGTATTAAAAGTTATATATTTAGACAGATGTTAAATAAATAATATTTGGAAAATACCTTTGTCAATACCTTTGTCATAAACAGTGTATAAATGAAAATGATATGGGATATGGCGTTAAATATATAGCAACACAACAACTAATACAAGTGGGTGTTTAACGATCTCTACTACTCATGCAGGTCTCGCACGGTCAAACAAACGACACAAAATCCAAAGACATCAAATGGTCACAGTAAGACAAGTGTCTATGCAAAACCGGAAGCTCTCGTAGACATAATACGGTTTGAGACAACTCAGAAAAAGAGAGGATACACAATTTAAAAAATCACCGAAACTGCTAGTTAAGTTAAAAAAAAAAAGACAGAAAGGCCGTCCTAGCTAGCCAACAAAGATAAGACGACCTGTACAGATAGAGTTCCCCTTTTTATCACTTTTCATCCCGATTTAATCTTTTCTATCTACTGTCAGCAAGCATTGGTGTCTTATTGACATGACCCTTCCTTGAAAGAGCTTTTCCATCACCTCACGTTGTGACTAAATACAGACCACAAAAGTGGTGAATAAAATCAGAACACCTAAAAAGCGGAGGATACAAAACAAGCAATTGTAAGCGATTTTCCCCCGCCAACTTCAAAAACACTTTCGTCAACATAGTAAAAAAGCAGTGATACAATACATTGTATCTATGAAACATCTGACCAAAAAAGGAAAACAATATGTTCTTACTTGTAGAACTTGCAAGCTGCAATATGTTGCATGGGCAAAAAAAAATAACATTTAACAAAGATGAAATTGTCATTAGTCAATGCTATTCCAATTAAACATCAGATGAAATAATCATTGATAAATTTTAAACCAACCAACGACAGAAACTGTCAAATCACCTCTAAAGATCGTGGTGTTATTCTTAAAATATCATTTTTTAATTGATCGAGGCTAACCAAACTCGGATGATATAAGGTAAATAAATACAGAAATTTTTGGTGCAGCAGCTACGTATGGTTGAACCTCGTTGACTCAATCAAATAAACGAGAAAAAGTGTTATCACAATCAAAGGAATACATCTTCAGAGTTATTATCTACTGATGCTATAGTAAATCTTTACTATAGTCACTATTAATTAAGAGATACTTTTTTTTTATAAAAATAAAATGCATTGGTATGGTTGCAAAAGCAACTATCCTCAAGACACCATATGACGTGAATGTAAACAACTACAGCTCATCCTGCGGACATCAACATGAAACAAAGCATAAACCGTCTATTTAAACAGAGGCGGAAGATACCAAGTTGATATTTAAAACTGACAAATCGAAGAGAAACTGACAACACGCCATGGCAAATCACTTAAACGACTAAATGACATTCAAGTTCACACAGTACTACACAAAACAAGACTTGGCAACACTAACCTATCGATAGTAAGCTACAAAAGCCTTCAAGGTAACAAACAGAAACTGTTATTTGGTGAAATAATCGCACGAGCTCTAAAAGGAGCGAGAGCGTGTACAAAAAGCAAATAAAACACAGTATAAACAGAACAATAATACAAAATACCGAATTATAGAATCAGTTACTGAAAGCAAGAACTGCAAGTTGACATAAATCAATGCTTCAAACTTTTTTTTTGAAAATTTTCATGAAAATTTGTATGTTATTACCACTGTAAGAGTTGTTTGTGGTGAAACTTTGTGAATTTCACATTTAGGATGAGACCAATATTACGGCCAAGACTTATATCAAGTTATCCATTAACTATTGAATTACTTAAAAATGCTTAATGTGAGAAGGGGGTACCAAAACCATAGATGCAGCTATCATTACATAGACTTAAAGATGAGTTTATAAACAGTATGTTGTAAGCACGTTTGTATGGTATCTTGGTGGCATGCTATCTATGGGGTCTAAAACCCGAGATTTGATTGTCCCAAAACTACTTTCACCACATTATTTCAGATAGAAACCGGATCATGTGTGTAAAATCACCACTGTCTATACTCATGGTTTTTATTATTTTTTTTAAATATTGTAAAGTATTGTGGATAGGAAGTTGATACTGAAATCATGGCTTACATACAAATGAAATTGATCAGATTGAGTACAACGTTTGACTCAGCCTACCGGGTCATTCCATACATTCCATGCAATGTGTTTCTTTTCTAAATGAATACTACTGATGTCCTTTTAAACCACACACACACCTATGTGTGTATATGAAGCGAAACTGCTATTATCCTACCATCAAATCTAATGTTGATTTCTAGCTATACCTTAATTTATGAATAGCTATTGATTGATTGATTGATTGATTGATGTTTAACGCCACTTTTAGCACTATTGTGCAATCTTGTGGCGGTGAGTTTTTATTGGTAGATGAAGCTGGAGTGCCTTTGGAGAACCCCCAACCTATGGTAGGAAAACTTGTATTCTTAGTCAATAAAGATTGGAGTCAAACACACTGCGACGTGCCGGATATGCTTTGTTAGAAGCTGTTAAAAGTACTGGTATCATATGTACGACAAAGGTAATATTCTATTGATACTGTTGGTATGAATTGGACTTTTTTTAGTTCCCTCGGTCCATTGGAATACAAAAGATTTACAAAAAACTTGAAGTGAAGTTATATTTGAGAAATTTATTTCGAAAGTTTAAGTTATACATTTTAATATTTAAGGGTTTTGCATATTCTCTCAGTAAACTCTGTTTTCGGTTTGGCAAACCTGAGGCTAAATCCTTTTCTTTACTTATAAACATGATAAACTGTTTATCACCCTGTCGAAATACCCTGTCTCGGCCAAATTAGAGTTCAGGCGATTCCATCTGGTTTCGTTTATTTTTACTTTGATTAGTATCTATTATAATGATTTTATGAGATTTGAACAGCGGTAAAATACCGATAGCCGACTATACGGTATGGTTTTTTTCTCATTGTTGAAGGGCATACGGTTAGCTATTATTGCTTTCATCCTCTTCGTTTGAATCTTGGTGGATAGTTGTCTCATTGGCAATCATACCACTTCTCCTTATTTTACACTGAATCCTAAAATTGTTGTCGAAATAAATACTTGAAAAGTGTATTTGAATCTTAGTGGATAGCTGTCTCATTGGCAATCATACCACTTCTCCTTATTTTACACTGAATCCTAAAATTGTATGTCGAAATAAATACTTGAAAAGTGTATTTCCAACAACTTGTATCTCTTTTATTTATTTTTTTAACCCTTTTTCGTTTAACTTATATAACACTTTTGGCAATGATCTACCTGACGAAAGTTGCATGCAGTTAATTCGATAGGATAAACTAAGAACATATTCATAAAAGAATGATATTATTTAACTCAAAATATAAATCTATGCGAGTGTTCTTCTATTAGAAAAATAAATGTCATTATTCATAAGGTTGCGCATTGATGTTAGGCTTTTGTCCCCCTATCATATGCATGTACCTCACATAATTTCTTATTGAAATATAAAATAATTTATAAAAATAATACCAAAATTTCTGACCGATATATCATCAGTTAATGCATGTAGTGGTTAGAAAAGGGAAACACAGAAGTAGTGTTCTGGTATGGGGAAAACCCTTATATTTAATCTGGCAGTAGCTTGTTACATATATTATGTCAGTTTTTATTAACGATACTATTATTGTAATCGGAGTCTGAAAGATAAATTAAGTCGTTAATCTGTCAAGTTAAAAGTGTTAGGCTTCCTGTTGAAGTAAATCAGTAGTACAGGTTGTACTCTGTTCTTAATATTATATCACTATTTAAGTTTCCATATCATATTTATTTCATAAGAACATTATGCGGCAAAGATAAAAAACATCAATTTACACGTTAAATGAACAAAAACAGAGAAATGATGGTTGCATTTTCGACTTATGCATATAGGAGAGGGTATGATACAGGATCGTTTTGTCCCGTTGATTTCGATAATATAACAATAATAATATATCAATACAAATATGCCGTAGGTATTCGTTCTTTCTCTAATTCTTCGTCAATTTATCCCTTTCTGCACCCATTGTATAAAAAAATTTAATCAATGTGTGGTTCGTTTGATCTCAGTTCTTCACTGGTTAAAATCCGATTATGAAGTCGAATTTTCTTGCTTTCCTCTGAATTTCCTATTGTGACGGCATGAAAAAAGGCGACCATGCCTGATGACGTCACATAGAAAGAACACATCTTTTTGCAGATCATTCGAAAAAAAAGGAATAAATTTGCCTGCGTATTGTTTGAAAATCATTAGAGAAACAGATTCCACCACCAAATCTCGTGTAATACGATATTTATCCACTCTCGACAGTTAAATTTTAAATATTTAAAACGCTCGGCGAGCCTCGCGTTTTAAATTTGAAAATTTAACTGTCTCGAGTGGATAAATATCGTATCACACTCGATGCAGTGGTAGAATCTATATTTATCTAACTATATAACTTGTATTGATATAAGGATGTGAGGAAGGCCTCACCCAAAAGTAGATTGTTTTTACCGGAGGACCCATATTAAGATGCCAATAAGGTGTGTATATAACATTAACATGTATATAAAATTCCTGATGTCAATCTGAATTAATACTAGTATCTATTTAAAGTGACTTATAGGTCCATTGGGCCGGGTGTAATTTAATTGAAATATTTCAATATTGTACATATTTTTGTCATACACAATGTCACTATAATAAACATATTTGTATTGTATTGTATTGTATACCTTTTATGGGTAACTCCTTGGCACAATTTATTAAAACAACTACATATAGAAATAGACATTGGTGTTAATATGTCCTTTGATTGAGTTAAGCTATTTCAGTTGATATTTTATAGTGTGTCTTTCTATGTTGTGATGTTATACTATTGTTTCAGAAAAAGGGTGAAGGATTGGTACCATTAAAACGTTTAAACCCGCTGCATTTGTTTGCACCTGTCCTAAGTCAGGAATCTGATGTTCAGTAGTTGTCGTTTGTTGATGTGGTTCATAAGTGTTTCTCGTTTCTCGTTGTTTATATAGATTAGACCGTTGGTTTTCCCGTTTGAATGGTTTTACACTAGTAATTTTTGGGGCCCTTTATAGCTTACTGTTCGGTGTTAGCCAAGGCTGCGTGTTGAAGACCGTACTTTGACCTATAATGGTTTATTTTTTTAAATTTTGACTTGGATGGAGAGTTGTTTCATTGACACTCATACCACATCTTCTTATATCTATAAAAATGTCTTATTAATGATTACGACATCTCACTGACATTATTTTTTTACATAATTGTACATGTACTTAATTAGCCATAAGTATTTATACCATCTTATTCATTTATCAATAAATAAAGGCAACAGTAGTATACCGCTGTTCGATAGTCATAAATCGATTAAGCGAAAACAAATCCGGGTCACAAACCAAAACCGAGGGAACACATCAACTATAAGAGGAAAACAACGGAACAACAGAAACACTGAACTGCTACAAAAACTAACGCCAACATAAATAGAAACGGACTATTTGATAACAACTGCCATATTCCTGACTTGGTACAGGACATTTTAAGAAAAAATGGTGGCTTGAACCTGGTTTTATGGCTAGCCAAACCTCCCGCTTATATGACAATATTAAAAATACCGCTAAAATGACAACATTACGTGACAGGAATACAGTACAAATAAACGCAAGAGCACTCAGGACTGAGAAACACATAAAACGTGTATAATTTAAAAGGATTAAAGAATGGCACTATTTTTGTATATTCAGTGGTCAAATTATAACTCTTATATCGTAGTTCTCCTTTACTTTTGAAAAAGAGAGGCGAAAGACACCAAAGAGACATTCAAACTCATAAGTCGATAATATACTGACAAAGACATGGCAAAAAAAAATAAAAAAACAAAAATACAAACAACAGTGTATAAAACACAACATAGAAAACTAAAGAATGATCAACACGAACCAAACAAAAACCGGGGGTTATCTCAGGTGCTCCAGGAGGGTAAGCAGATTGTAAATACACAACTAGTGATAATTCAAACTCGGTAGTTCACATTTACGGAAAAGGAGACGGTTTTTTTTATATATCTATTCATAATCACGCTTTTAATTTCAGAACCTAGTATTTTTAAAAAGTTCGGTTATTTTCTTAGTTATAGTTTGATGATCGTAGTGATTAGCTGTTATGTTCACATCCATCGCCAACATAATTTTGGTCTCTACTTTCAAATCAAGTTGTAATAATCTATATATACCGATATTTGCTTACGTTTTTCTATCCTTATTTAGGATTGAAAATTAACTGATAACACAACACTACAAAACTAAATCAATAATTTATGTACGCTCACCATATCTGTATCTGTATAACTCATCATCAGATACGATATTGACTATATCTACTCCATTTTAAAACATATGATACTTTACAAACATTATACATTTTAATAATTTGAATAATACACATTATATACATAGATGAAAATCAAATTGTTTCCACATTTCTACAGGCAAACTGTTAGGATTTTTATTACATATCTATATATACTTTAACATCAATTTCATCAGCATGTTTCATTATTATTCATTTTTACTTGAGGTTTTGCTTTTGAATTATGCAATTAAAAAAATTCTAGATAACTAAAGCCCTGATTTCATCCTCGTTTTGTTCTTTCTTTTTTAGGGAAATTTTCAACTTCTCATAAAAACATTCCTCTGTATTGTACGGTAGATTGCCACCGTTTGGCCATTGAATACATATAATTTTAAACCACATACTTTTCATTATTTCTGGCATATCACTAACTATAATCTTATCCATTACAACAATAATCACCATGTCTTCTCTTCCTTTCTGAAAGGCATGCATACGTGTCAATTCCATTTTATATGACCCCCAAGAACTCTTTAAGAAATTGTGAGTTAGAATAAATATAACCTTTCTACTGGAATCGATTGCATCTATAACATTTTCCGCTATACCGTTACCAGCAATAAACGTCTTGGCGTCCAGACATAATTCAAACCCCATACTATTCAACTTGTCATAGAACTGTTTTACCCATTCCACATCTGTATGACTGTATGATATAAAAGTATCATAAGTATACTCCTGCTTCAATTTTTTGTAATTTTTCATTTTCATTTTCCATCTCAATAAAAAGTACTCAAGAGCATATTTATATCGAAAACATATAAAGATTAATATCATAGCAACTATGATAATGGAGGTTATAAAGACAGCAACCGGCAACCAGACTTTAGTTTTGCAAGAAATCTCAAATTTCCGCAGATCGGCAATAACTTCAATTAAAAACGTACGAGATGCCTTTTCGGTTACACATTTCAAATCCAAAATATCCGGTACTCGTTTTGTTTGACCGAACCACTTTAAAAATTGTAAAGCTTTACAAGAACATTGCAAGGGATTTCCTTTCAAGAAGATATTTATTTCTCCTAGGTTTTCAATTTGATTCAATTCATTGTCTACGAAGTGTGTTATACTGTTATAGGTCATTTCAATAATTTTTAATGGTTTAATAATAGAAAGAAATTATGGAAATATTGTTAAATTGTTGTGTGACATGTTCACTGATAATAACTGCTCCAACGGTTGCAAAAATAATCCTTTTGGTATACTGTTTATTTCATTTAATGATAGGTCAGTATATCGCATTCTTAGTGTCTCACTAAAGAAAGACCCCCCTTTAGCGCTGTTCTCAAATCCATGTCCTAGAAGTGAGTCACTTGCTTTCAATGTCTGCAAATTTGGGAAACCATACAACAAATTGATAGACAGTTTTTCACATCTCCATCCAGACATATCATAGTACTCCACATTTATTCCTCCTTCAAAACTTGCTTTACATGACTTGATGTAATTGCCCTTCAAGCTTAGCACTCGAAGATTTAAACTGTTAATAAATTGTACAAAAAACCAATGACTATCTATATAACTTTCTATGTACATTTCTTCTAGAGATTTTGGTAAAATGAAAGTAAGTTTGTCCAATCTTGATGGGTGCGAGCGTTTACTTCTGATATGGTGCCAATTTCTAATAAGTTTGAAAACTTTCTAATTTGCAAAGTTCTCAATAAAGACAAACAAATCAAATGCTTGGTCAATTATCCTATTTTGTGAAATTTCTAGATATTCAAGACATTTGCTTTCAACAGAAAATCTTTGCAGTGCGTATTTAGATATAGATTTTATGAATAAATCTTGCAATGTCAATCTTTTCAAACAAATTGACCATAAATACTTCATTTGTTCGTAATCTAAGATAAACTCATTGTCAGATGTACTAGATGTTATTAAGATATTTGTCACGTTTCTATGTCTTTAAACTCCAAAAGATCTAAACACTTGATCTATTGGACTATTAGGTAAATAATTACCAAGTTTTAATACAATTGAATTTAAATTAGGAAAATATTCGAAAAAATCATCCGATATGGACGGAACTATATGTAAGTACAAAGTCATTATTGACATCAGTTTTATATGAGCAAACATTTTCTTGTTGAATTGCACATTTATTGATCTAGTGAACATCCTCCAAATAACTTATATTACTAAAATCAGACCATTGGCTAGGAAATTTAAAATCTTGGTACACGTCGAACGACAGATATCTCAGTGACACGATTTTTGACATTTCATTTATTTGGCCATCCTGATGGTTTTTGTAGTTTATTGCTATCAATCTAAAGGTCTTGTAAACAATTCAGGTTGTAGAATATTCCTTTGGGTATCACTTTTAAGACGTTGTTATCCAGATGTAGACTTTTAAGACGATGCAAACAATGAAAAGCAGTTTTCGCTATTAACTGTATCAAATTAAAAACTCAAATTAAGCTCAGTTATGTTTTGGATATACCGAAATGTAAAATCTCTAACTATTTTTATGCTGTGTCTACTTAAATCCTGACTGGTCACATGTATTAGTAAGCGCCTCGGTAATCTAGTCAAGCCTAATGGTTACAATCAATGATGCTTATTTGAACGTTGTATTTGTCTCATTGCAATAACCTTTAAATATAAGAGTAAAGATATTTTTCTCAATATATAAACTATTAAAATGATAACTATGTACAACGTGTAGTTCAAATCATAGTTTAACAAAAAAAAACAAAACAAAAAAACAAAAAAAAACAGTTAAATTAATCAAAATGATAAGTATGTTACTCTTTCCAAATTTTCTAAATGCTGTAAGGTCGTTCATACAAATCGGATTTAAAAAAAACTGGGTCTGTGAACACTCATGATACATACACTTGGTGCTTAACTCTTGTTCTAAAAGAGTGGCGAAATATATCAGAGGGACATTCAAACTCATATGTCGAAAACAAACAGACAACGTCATTGCTAAAAAAGAAAAAGACCATTAAACAAACAATAGTACACAAAACACAACATAGAAAACTAAAGACTGAGCAACACGAACCCCACCAAAAACTGGGGGTGATCTCAGGTGCTCCGGAATGGTAAGCAGATCCTGCTCCACATGTGGCACCCGTCGTGTTGCTCATGTTATTAAAAACCCAGTAATAAGTCTAACTCGTTAGGTCAAATTCGGAAAAAGGGTATGAGTATGGCATGGTATTGGTTGCATAAATTTGATATTTTTCATTTAAATGCAATATTTTTTATTTAATTGGTATATTTCTTCATTTAAATGCAATATTTTTTATTTAATTGGTATATTTCTTCATTTAAATGCAATATTTTTTTATTTGAATGGTATATTTTTTCATTTAAATGTAATATTTTTTATTCAATTGGTATAATTTGTCATTCAATTGCAATATCTTTTATTCAATTGGTATAACATGTCATTTAAATGCAATATTTTATATTCAATTGGTATATTTCTTTATTTAAATGCAATATTTTTTTATTTGAATGGGATATTTTTTCATTTAAATGCAATATTTTTTATTTAAATGGTATAATTTGTCATTCAAATGCAATATTTTTTATTCAATTGGTATGTTTCTTCATTTAAATCCAATACTTTTTTATTTGAATGGTATATTTTTTCATTTAAATGCAATATTTTTTATTTAAATGGTATAATTTGTCATTCAAATGCAATATTTTTTATTCAATTGGTACAGTAGTTTTTTTATTTATATGCAATAATTGCATTATGGGAAATTCTTTGACGTCTTAAGGTCAAATTTGCAACAACGTTTCTGGTGATTGGTCGGTAATTGTTTGGATTTCCCCTTTCTTTCTAAACACGAGTAACCAAGAATTAAAACAACGCGTCGGAATATCGCCCCTCTAACTAAATTTGGCGTTCGTGCGAGTTCGTGCACAGGCTGTTAATGCCAATAATGGCCAGGTCGAGCAAAAAATGCGAGTGACAAGTAAAAATAATTATTTTGACACACAACCTGTTCATGGATAGAAACAGATGCCTGCGTGCATGGCAAAACTGCCTCCAATGAAAACCCTTTCTGAAGAAACTCCCCTACAGTCTACACATTGAAAAAAATGCATAGCAAGCCCCCCCCCCTCTAAGTCCAGATACATGTAATCATGACGTTCTCTGATGCTATATCATTTTTTTCTTTTCTTGATTCTCAGAGACGTTGCAGGAAGGCAAACATAAAAAAGAGTAAAAAGCCTTCCAGAACGTTATAATTATTTGAACTAAGCCCCATCTTTTTTGCTTCATGTAGAAAAAAACCCACCTAATTACGACAGCAGAACCAGAGACCCACAAGAAGAGACCTAAGCTGTGATACTCCAGAACTAATTCTTTAATAAAGACAATTCGGGATAAATTGGAACCAGTTACTAACCCATGTTACAACAATAGTCCTATAACATCGGACGTACACTGTATAAGGCGTGAACTTCACATTTTGGACTATCTATAATATGTGCTCTCATGTCTTATGCCGCAAATCATTTTACATTTAGGATTCGTTGCAGTGCTTTTTTTTACTGTTCACATCTCCGAATCCCTTAAATAGAATTTGTTTTTCAAGCCCCACAGTAGTTCAATAATTAATATACCTATGACTTTGCATAAAAAAGTATGCAGGGCATATTTCAAAACATATTTTTTCTTCAGGACTTTTAAACGATTTACTTTTCAATACTGCATTGGGAGGGGCAGGGGGTATACACGTTTATTTTGTGACACAGTATATAATATAATTAGATACAAATCTCTAATGATTTGTAGCCAACAAATTATAGGATTGTACGTTTAGCAATTATCTAGACCCGTACAAAATGTATAATATTATAAGATACATTTAACAGGGGCGGATCCAAAACCTCGGTGTCTAGGGGAGTTGGGGGAGGGGGGGGGGATTAAGATATTTGTATAGAGATGTATATATGCGATATTTGCAGTAATGGTTAATGTGTGTGTGTTTGAGGGGAGGGCATTCAGATTAAAGATAGTTTCTGTAATTCTATATCTTTTAGTTTTTACCATTTCACTATATTCTTTATCCTTTGATCTCTATTATATTTGTGTTAAACATGCGTGAAATATTTGTTACTGGACATTTGGCAACCAAAAAACAATCGACGCATTCTTTATATTTCATCATTTCTTTATTATGTTATCTATAGGTTTGGTACCGCCCCATATCCATTTTTTGCACATTATTCTCTCTATGTAAACCCAATTCCTGTCCTGATAAATGGTGACTCATGCATAGCATCAAATGTGGTTATTAAAACAAGAAACATATTCATATTATAATAATTTACTGTATGCTTGGACTTATAGATAGATGTCATTAGTCCCAGATCATGTAATAAAGTAGGTCTTATAAAAATACAATAGCCTTTTAATGATGATCATATACATGATATATATGTATATATATATTTAACAATGCCAATTTTTGGGAAAAAAGGGTAGGGGCAAGGCGTTTTTAAAACATATTAATGGGGCGCGTTTTTCTGTTCTTCGGTAGTGAGCCAGAAGAAGTTCATTTTTTTTTTTTTTTTTTTTTGCATTGGGAAGATCTTCTGGCTCTCTTCCACCTCTTCTTTTTTGATAGGTTGTTTAGACGGCAGAGGCACATAACAAACATGGCGTCGTTAATTCTAAATAACATTAAATTTATGAATTCAGATATATTAGAATGTGAGCTATGTTATAAACGTTTTATGGTATGAAAGCCTTAGTAAGACATCCCTGTAGGACGATAAGCTGGATAAATATAAGAACAACACGGACAATAACAGTTAAGGGACGATTGTTTGATATTCTAGGTAAGGGATTTTGATTGATTGGTGTTTAACGCTACTTTCAACACTATTGGGCTATTCCGTAGTGGTCAGTTTAAGATTATAGATAAAGGATGGGGAAGGGAAATGAGGGCATTATAATTCATTTTAATCTGTCGCTAATCGTGCATATTTTTCAGCTCTTACCAGGCAACCATACTCATATATATGAAATCCTTCTGTCCCCCACCCCAACAAATAAATAAATAACAAATGGTTTACCTCTTATTTAACACAAGTTTAAATTGATT